TGGTGCCAGAGGTGCTGATGATAAAGGCGTAGTTTTATTGTGGGTGCTAGGCTGTTGTTTCTGGCTGTTTAGCATCTCAGGTACTAAAAAATTTGTAGCCTGTTTGTGGTATCAGACTTCAGTGTAGTAGAGCCAAACCCAAGGATCAAAGGCAGAAGAGTGGGAGGATTCTGAAAAATCCAGGGTAGTGTCAGAAGTGTCTGCTCCAATGTTTCCTTGCAGCTGAGTTGCATTTTAATACTGCAGAACCGGAGAGCACGTGGGACCCTTCTAAACATCACACGTGGGGCAGAGTGTGAGTTCTTAAACCTGGACCTGCCCATGTCGGCCACTTCCCGCTCCCCGTGCCGCACCGAGCGCTGGCACCGAGCGCTGGCAGCGGCCTGCGCTGAGCGATGCCCCCTCGAGGGACTGACACCAATGGGGTGTGGACGAGGCTGTTTCTATCCTTGGTCTGAAGAGCCTCGGAAGGAAGAGCTGCTCCGCAGGCCGGTTGGTTGTGCGAGGTGCGTGTCCTGCTCCAGCTGCCAGGCTCTTGGGCTCTGCGAGTAACGATGCTGATTCTTCAAGTGAGCAGAGTAGGGGGCTGGACAGTGAGGGCTTTCACCTCTCAACAGTGTTTAGGTTTGGCTTTATGGAGCAGAGCCCGTGAGGGATGGTCCTTTCAAACTGCACCGTCCCAACTTTTGGTAGCTCACCACGCAGAACAACTGGCTGAGGTGTAGGTCGGAGTGTGCCTGGACTCTCTGCCCTGGGGAGGAGGTGTCCTGGCTGGGAGCACTTGCCTTTGACTGGTGTAGTGACTGCCTGGTTGTGCGGAGTTTAAGGGGAGAGTAGATTTTATAGGTATTGGTGGAAATGGCACCTTCTGAGGGCCAGAAGCAGAGGTCATGCTGGGAGGAGCGCGAACCCCCCGGACGGTGCAGGCTCCTGCCAGGCTCGGCTGCCCTGAGCGCCGTCCCGGTCCCGCGGACACTGTTTACAGCACGAGGTCTCCTCCCTCCGCTCGGGGGGAGGTTGTTTTTAGTTTGAAGGTGACTCGGGAAAACATTATCTGGTCTTGTCTGCCTTCACAGCTGTCCAGCTTGGTGGGACACCACGCTGCACCAGGAGAAGGGTCCCCCTCAGTTCTGCGGAGGGTCTCTGGGTTTTGTGAGCTGCTCCCAGCCTGTCCCCAACTGGGAAATGTTTGAGTAGCTCATTTCCAGCGGGCTGACGCTGGTTGTGCTCGTATCTCCCTGGCTCGCAGGTGCTTTCTCCAGCCTTGAGTGCCCAGGATTTTGATTGCCTGGTCTGTTTTGTGTTGGGAGGAGAGGGGATATTAATCCCCTGTGAGAGCAAATGGTGCTTGCTGTTGTTACTGCTTGCTGAAGCTTTTTAGCCTGTCTGAACTGCATCGAGTGCCCTCTAACTCGGAGCAAATAACCTTGCAACAGCTTATTTTGTCAGCATACAATAATCACCTTGTATCTGTTGGAAAAAAACCCACCACCTTGATCTTTACTAGCTTCCATTTTAAATCAGGCTGTAGTTAAAATGGGACAGGCTTCTACAAGTGCTGTAGTCAGGTCTGACTTTTCAAAATTAGGTGGTTGGGAGTGTTTAATCACAGGCTGTGGTGTAAAAAAAACCCGTTTGGCACACAGGTCAGTTGCTGAAGTAAAACCGTGTATGAGAAAACTGCCTACAGCTGATACCCCTGTACATCTTTTGGGACCCCCAGGACCTCCTGCTTTTTAAAAACCAGTTCATCATTCTGGTCTCTCTGGTACAATTCTGTCATCCAGAGTCACTCGGAAACCTTAAAACCTGTGCAAAGGTGGTGTTGAACGTTTCTGGATGTAGCCAGCTGTGCTGTGGTCGGTGTATGAAATAGCAACTGAGGGTTTTAGCCCCCGGGTTACTCAGACCTCTGTTTTAAGGTGCCTCAGTTTTCAGTATCAGCCTTCTCCTGAAAGTGTCTTGGTCTCAGATGAGGGTCAGATCTCTCCTTCCCTGTCCAGGCATGTTTATTCTTCCAGACTTTTAAAGCTTTAGTATGTAAAACTCATTTTTCCTTTGAGAAGCGTGGAACTGGTTTATTTAGGACTCTGAAACTTCCATTGCAGACTTACTTGTGCTTTTCTTGACTTTAGGCAAACTTGGTTTTGTAACACTGATTTGTTTCTATGCTCGCAAAAAAACGGGCATAGGTTTTCTTGTTAAAACATCTTCAGGCATTCAAAAAACAAACAAGAAATTCCCTCCCAAACCCACCTGCTTTGTGCCTGTAGGTCATGGTACTTATACGGAGAGTCGTATGTAATCGTGAGCGTTGAGCGCTTAATAACGGAGTAAATCAGTTTCTGGGCAGCAGCCTTGGTGCGCGGGATGCTCCGTGGGCACGCTGCTGGCGCATCCAAAGCGCAATCAGTGCAGGAAGGACGTGTTCGAGCTTAACGAGTTCTTCTTAAGTCTGGCTCTGGTTGAGTCACGTAGGTAACCGTGGCCCACGAATGGTGGCTTCTCCCGAACCGCTGTTGCCGGAGCCTCCCTTCCTGCCCGCTCCGAGAACGGCTCCCCAGGGCCCTGCCCTTCTCCCGGCTGGCCGGCACTGGGGGCCGGTTGGCCCCCGGGGGCCCTTGGCCAGTAGCCTGAGGAGCTTTGGCAGCGCAGCTTTCTGTGGACCGGCAGCTCACAGACCCACCTTTGGACTGTGCTTTCGAAAGCTGCACCCCCGGCCTCACTGCGAGAGCGGTTTGGAAAACACCGGAGCTCTGCCCGGCAGCTGGCGCTTGTCACCCGCGGGCTGCGAACTGGGCTCCGCAGAGCTCTCTGGCCTGGGGTGAGAAGTCTCGTTTCACCCTCAGTGTGACAAGGAACGTTACGGGTTTCCTCACCTGGCTTGCGAAATCCTGCAGACCGCGAGATGTTCCTCCCCCCGGGAAAGCTCAATATTGTGTTCAGAAGCGTCTGCCGGGCACCTCCGTGGGCAGAGTGAGGAAACCAAGAGTGGGAGAGCGGAGGGGCTGCCCTCCCTGCGGCGGGACAGGTGATCGGGTGGT